ATTCAGTTGCAATGCAAGAACGCCTCCGAGTAAACTGAACCTAAGAGTTTGGTACATGCTTGGTTCCCTTTAAAATTCTAAACATTGACCTTAGCAGAAGCCACAGTTTTTTAAAGTACGTTTCCTGGGCCCTCTTTCTTACTTACTTACTTACTTATGGAGCTGAGCCCTTCTTGAAAGCCGCCAATTCTGCAGATACTCAAGAATTTCCCAGAATTTTATGGAACCCGAAGGTTCATTACCGTGTTCACAAGAGCATTTTACTGGTCCAAATTCTGAGCCAGATCAATCCACTCCATACCATCCCATCTTATATCTCTAAGATCCATTTTTTATATTGTCCACCCACCTACGCCTTGGTCTTCCCAGTGGTCTCTTTCCTTCTGGCTTTCCCTACAATATCCTATATGCATTTCTGATCTCCCCCATTCATGCTACATGCCCTGGCCACCTCATCCTCCTTGACTTGATCATCATAATTATACTTGGAGAAGACTAAATGTTATGAAGCACCTCATAAGGCTTTATGTACATTTTCGTAAGAAGCTTATTCCTGGGCCCTCACTATTTCATTACCCGAGGTTGTAGCCGGAAGCTAAGCTCTGAAAACCTGAAAACTGAAAATCTCCCAATTTTGTTTGTAATTGAAGAATGCAGATTGTTGTTGCCCTTCTAGTTCTTTGGGACCAGCCAATCAGAATCTGAAAAGATCACCTTCCGTTCAGAATTGTTGAACTTAGGACAAAGGCTTCCTTAAGGGCTGATTGGCTGCAAACACTCTGCAACTTGCAGTGGCTGGGTTAGGACGTGCTCTAGCATCGCTCCGGTAATAAATTAATTCCCGGCTTATTAACAGTCTGGGCCTTCGAGACAGTTTACTCAAGGAAACCAACTTAAGAAGTCATAATTTGGCGAATATATTATCACGTGTCCGGGGTTTCTTGTCTAATAATGACGGGTTCTGGACCGGATGATTGGATATATTAACACCTTCTACAATCAATACAGCGCTATTGCTGATTTCCGCAATTTGCAGTTCATCGTTACACACGCAGTAGGATTGTCAGTCTTCACTAGTCGTGTCCTGGTAACGGAATCGAAAGAACCTCACTGTGACTACATCTTCTAATCACACGTTAAGTCTTCACATGCTGACTTTTAATTCTTCCTCAACTACAAACTTCCCGTGGCTATCTCCTACCGACAACTGACTCAGTTCTCATTCCCGTTCTACGACTGATTCCCTGTACTCTTCTGTACTCCTACAGCTGCAACTCAACTCAACTACTGAACTGAACTCCCACTATTGTTCCCCCTTTGTTATATAGGCTCGGGTCTGACTTCACTGAAAACACGTGTTACGTGTCAGAATATGTGTTTATTGGTCAATTACCCAGCACTTGGAAGGGCGCGGACCACATAGAAAACATCTCGTAGGAATGCATGTTTACTGACATGTTGCCTAGCTCTGGGCATGGCGCGGACTACATAGAAAACACTTTTTCCAACCCTCTTCTATTGTTGCTTGCGCGTATTTTCGCACGGCAACTCGTCCCTCTGCGGGCGACGGCCACTCGTTTTCGGTACCGATCCTGATTTTGGGTCCGTTCCTTCATCTTCCGGTCCCTACGCCTCTTCTTCGGTCCTTCGACCGGCATTATTTCGGCCTCTTTCTTGGGGACTTAATTTTGTTGCGCCACCTCACGTTTCCTGTCTGCTGAGGCCACCTTTTTCTTTTCTAGACGTGCCTCCGTCTTTTCTCGGCAGGCCATCGTCTCTTCGGCTCTTTCGGGTTCGACTTCTTCCCGCGCGGTTCTCCTGTCCGTTCCCATTCTCTTGTCTCTCGTGACATGTCCTTGCGGCCATCTCTTCTTGCCAGGCTTTCCACTCTCCTCAGTCAGCCTTCCTATCGGCGTCCATCTTGGCTTTTGTATTGGCGTCTATCTTCTCCAACAGATCTTCTCGGGTGGCTTTTCTATCTGCCTCCCCTCTCCTTACCTGGCCTTCCTATCAGCGTCCATCTTGGCTTTTGTATTGCCGCCCGCCTTTGCCTGATTGGCGTCTATCCTCTCCAGCAGATCTTCTCGGGTGGCTTTTCTATCTGCCTCCCCTTTCCTTACCTGGCCTTCATATCGACGTATGCCTTTGCCTGGTGAACCAGAAGTCATCGCATCATCTGCTTCAGGCTCGTCGTGTCCATGACACGACATGACGTGCTTTAGACGTTTCTTCTTCACTCTTAACAATTACTTGCACCGCTGATTTTGGTGAAGTGTCTTGATCCCTTTGTCGTATGCGAGCTGGCTTCTGCTGTAGTCGGAGCTACACTAAGAACTGACTGATCTCGTCGGAGCTGGGCTTTTATAACGTGCACTCGGACTGAATAGAGCGCACCATGTAGGAGGCTTTGGTTTCCGCCCGCTGTTATGCAATGAACCTCTTGTCCCTTCATCCTCGGGGAAACGCAATCGTTGTTTAAGCGATTCCTGGGAAAAGCCCAGTTGGTATTCTGTTCCTACTGAAGTATACATGTTTATCGCAGCCGTTGTCATGCAACTGCCTTGAACACTTCGTTGCTTAGGTTTGCTAGCGTTCGGATTCCAAGGCGTTGCAGCGGGAACGCTGGTCATTCCCTAGGAAACCAACTCTGATCTCATCAACAATTCCGGCTTCCTGACGGCACGTCACAATATTTCCTTTGCCAGTTTTTGCGTTCATGTCACCCACTATAATCCTGATATCACTGGCTGGGAGCTTATCATATGCTCTTTCCAACTTCTCACAAAATGCCTCCTTTTCTTCCTTTTATCATCAGTTGGGGCATGCGCATGAATTATGCTGATATTAAGAATCTGCCTTTCAGACGCAAATAATACATTCATATACCTAGAGGTTCAAAACCTATTACCATATGACTAATACTCTTGTCCACAACAAATCCTGTTCTAAACACGTTTACTGTCATGGCAGCTGTAGCTTCTGCATCACTCCACTTCCCACCCACCTTATATATATATCTCCTCTGTGGTGAGGACATCTGTAGGCATCCTAACGGAGCCTGGTCTAGATAAAATTAGTACATTCCTAATGACATTAGTCCTTTTCCAGTAACTGTGTCTGGCCGACTGTTCCCTGAACTTTCTTAACAAGTGATTTTTACTGTGCAGGGTCGTTAAGCCTGCGCCCAAACCTCAGCAATCCAAGAGGACCGATGTTTCCTTTGGGGGTTATCTCCCCTAGCTGGTTTGTCCCAATTTTGGAGCGTCCGCGCTTTCGCCCTTGCATTACTTAGCATTGCCCAGGAGTCATGGCGAGGACATGTAGTGGCTGAGTGGACCCCGTTCCAGACCCACTACTTCTCAGAAAAATCGGGTAACGCCGGGAATCGAACCCGGACCTCTGGATCAGTAGCCAGAAACGCTGACCACTAGACCACAGAGGCGGTCGAAGAATATGAATATGTTGGAAAACATATGAGCGTTCCGCTTGCAATTTAACTTAATTGCTACACTTCTTTAGGATTTTTTACGTTTCTTTTGCTTCTATTCTTTAGTCCTCACAAATTTGACTTCTCTACTCAAGACACCCACTTAGAACAAATTTACTTATTACTGCATGTTATGGAGAGTAGACTGTAAATATGCTAGTAATTAAATTAAAAAAGATTACCACGCATAACAACGAACATAATAATTTAAAAATAATAATCAATGACAAATATGTTACAGTACTGAATGAGAAAGCTTATCACTTACCTGGGCGATGCAAGCTTGAACCAGATTGGGAGGAAACATATTCCTGGAACAGAAATATTGCCAAATGAAGCGCAGCTCACTTCATGTTTAACATTCACAACGTAACCATATATACTTTTTTCCCCCCTTGGCACTATAGCCCCAGTGGGCCTAGGCCCACCTCCATGAACTTCTCCGTTCACTTCGGTTTTTCTAGATCTTACAATTCGGTAGGACTCTTTGGGCGGGTGATCAGCTCGTCGCAAGGCCTCTACCTGTACACAAACACAGAAAAACGCACACACACAAACTAAACATCCATGCCCTGAGTGGGATTCAAACCCACGATCCCGGTTTCCAAGCGAGCGAAGACAGTACACGCCTTAGACCGCTCGGCTACCGTCACATACTGCCAACGCAAAATATACAGCAATATGTTGCTGCCTCTCTTGCGAATGATATGTATATACGTGTGTATGGAAACAAACACTGCTGTCGCCGTCACAACACCTCGTAGCAGTAAGAACTATCCTGGTTTCAGAACTGATCTACCCACTTCCTTCGAGTTGGCACTCTGTCTCTGCAGCCTGTCGGTCTGATTGACGTAACATCAGCTCAGTGAATGTTTATACAGTCAACAGGTGACTGACACATGCTCACAGAACCGTTATCGATCACCATACAGAACAATTCTTTGTTGCTTTCATATGCGCAGCTACACTAAGGTAGTCAACACGATACCACTTTTCATTGCAATATCAGTGATCATATTAGTGGTTCTTGTGGATAAGAAGGGTGCACTTGATTCTGTCCCAATAGGCCTATAGGTAGTACTGTGTGACAGTAAATCCCGAATGCTCAGTAAAACCTAAAAGTTTGTGACGGTGGTACATTGGTACAAATACGGGGTTATTCATAAGGCCGTGAAACATTTTAAAAATTCACAACAAATAAACTATATATCGGATCATGGCAATTCGTACGCCGATAGAGAATGAACCTCTCCAAGTGTCAATTACATCCTAACCTCAGGGATATTCGCAACCGTATCACCGCTGCTGGGGCTCTGGTCAACCGTGATATGGTGACACGGGTGTGGGACGAAACGGATTATCGCATAGATGTTTGCATCTGTGAACTATATAAAACATTTGGTGAGTTTTTCTCTATTTCAGTGTAATAAAACTTGGTATTTGTTGCGTAGTTTATTTATTGTAAATTTTCAAAATGTTTCACAGACTTAGGAATAACCCTGTATTATGTTTTTGGACATTATCCAACGTCTCGTCTTTATCTAAAACTGCCATGTTTATTTTTCAGAACACAACGTTTCGGAGACTGGATTCTGTCTCCGTCTGTAAGTAAAACATACTCAGTTTGGTCCAATCGATAGAGCTATTCCCTGTCTCCGGACCTAAGGGTCTAGCTCTATCGATTGGACCAAACTGAGTATGTTTTACTTACAGACGGAGACAGAATCCAGCCTCCGAAACGTTGTTTTGAAAAATTAGCAGGGCGGTTTTTAGATAAAGACAAGACGATGGATAATGTCCAAAAACATAATATTTGTCCGAATGATCAGCCCCATAAATATTTTGGCGGAAGTGCAGTTGTACTCTTGCTGGCGCAGTTTCTCCCTCTAGGTTCATAACAATCATGAGCCAGGTTAGTGCGGAGTGGTCAGTGCGCAGGCGCAACTCTTGTCCGTATAGGTACTTATGGAAATATTTAGTATCCTTATGATTGCCAGTAGTTACCGTCGGGTGATGCAGTACTTTCTCTCGGCCTTGTTCAGCCTTTTACAGTAATAAGCTGTAACTCCCTCAGGTGAGGCCTGTATTTGAGACAATTCTCCTCCAACCCCGACGTTACTCGCGTCTGTGTTAGCAACGAAACCCTCTCTTGGCTGAGGGTAAGCAATAATAGGGTCAGTATAGACAGAAACCTTAGTATTTGGAAGGCGGCCTCGAGCTCTGGAGTCCACTCCAGTGGACTCCAGGCTTGCTTCTCCTCCGTCAGTTTAGTTAGTGATTTCGCAATGTTGGCGAAACAGAAAATAAACCATCTATAATGAGTGGATAGGCACACGAAGCTTCTAATATCATATTTGTTTTTCTGGGTCGACCATTCCCGTGCGGCTCTCAGCTTCTCGCGGTCGGTAGTTATCCCCTCAGGTGACACGATATGCCCAAGGTACCGCACTTCCTTCTGAAAGAGTTGCCACTTCTCCGGATTGAGCTCTAGGCAGGCTGCTCCATAGGTTGAACAGTTGCTTCTAGAACATGCGGCTAGTCACGATCACTGCGTTCAGGTATACGAGATATGCCTTGTAACTGAGGCCTCTTAAAACGGTCTCCACTAACCACTCAAATGTCGCTGGAGCGTTGTACACGCCAAAGGGCATGACTGAGCTACCATAGCCCTTGCTCCGTAGAGAATGAAGTCTTCTCCTTGTCGTCCGGATATAGGTCCACTTGCCAATAACCGCTTTTCATGTCGGGAGTTGAGAATCATTTGGCTCCAGCCAGTGTGTCCAGAGTGTCTTTTGGATTGGATTTATTGAACCCTTACACATCCCTAACTAGAAGTACTTATAACAGTTTCACTAATTCACACACTTTACAGTTCTCCGTGGTAAGCATCAGGTCGTGTACGTCAGCACTAGGTGTTGCTACGCAACGACTTCCAACAATGGGGACTCCTCCGTCTCTTACTTCTAACTCAATGCTGAAATTGGATTTTGAGGCCATTAAAATGATCCTCAAACAAAAAAGTAGTCAGTCAGTCAGTCCTGCTGCTTGAAACACTGGAAAATATTCTGTGACATACCATACACTGCAAACTGATGTGAAGCTCTATTTCAAGAGCTCAAAGAAGGTTCCTCTCCTCCAGATTCAGCGTAGGATGATGAAGTCATGAACAATCACTGCAGAGACACAATGTCCAAAGTTGGATGCAAATATTCCAGGCGGTAGCCTTGCCTACATCTGTCACAATGAATTAGTGCGCAGGAACGGTTACTGTCCCCACAAACCTAACAACGCGTGAAATCTATAATTCCATTTTCCTCTAGCTGTCTTGGTTGATCCACATGGATTCTTCCAACAAATTCTCCCCCTGACAGCGGTCCACAAGAATCATATCACAACCTGTCGATCTACTGGGCAAGTGTTAGTATTCTTCAACCATTCTGGAGACAGTCTGCACAGAAACTGTGCTTGCAAGATTATGGAGCCCCATCTCTTTGTGAAAATTCACATAAGCAAATCGGACACTTTCCTGGTTGTCCGACCTGCTAGGAGCAAGCGGTACTTTATAGAGGATGCTGTTCCATCACCACAAACCGTGGTTTCATAATTACCACTTGTGGCAGCAACACCAGGCAACCATGGTGATCTTCGTACTTCCTCTGATGTTTCATCTGCCCTTTTCACACTCTCCCAATAAGGATTTCAGAAGTTTTCAGTCAATTCAAGAACTGTGGTACAGTACCGTGATGCATATTCAGTGATATCTCATTCATCAGCAGTATTATATTCATCATCACTGTTCTCAGGCTCTGGTTCATTACTGCTCCCATCACCTAACTTTTATCGGTAAGAACCGCATATGATAGTCTCTCCCTGTCCTTCAATTCCTAGATTCTTTTCAACATGTATGCCCTCTCATATTCTCTGTAATCTTCAATTAACTTATATATGGTGTGCTGCTCCGTTTCCAGTCTCTTTGCCTTCTCTACGTCAGATTTTAGTTATCTTTTGCTCTTTTTCCATATCCGAAGCCTCCTGGAAGGACGTGTTAGCTCTCAGCTCCAACTTCTCTACCTCAGTCTGGCATTTCTTTTCGTAATTCATCCCTGAGTCGAGCGTTCATATTGTGGGTGAGATTCAGATTTTCCTGTAGGATAGCAAGGCTGTACTGAAGAAAGTGTATCTCTCGTCAAATGTTTTCCTGCACTTATTCTGCATTTTGCATCCAATCTGCCTCATCTACCTTTCTTGCAGTTCTTCTCCTGCGTCATATAAACCAGGAGAGAGCCCAACATCCTCATGATTCTCCTCTGCGACATATTTTTCTTAATTATCATGTATTTAGTCAGGTGTCATGTGTATGAGTGACTGTAGACGGGGTTTGGATTTATTGGACTCTTATACAACTCGTGACCACATTTTATAAATCACTATCATACAGACTAGTGTACACAGTCACGTCTTCAATAGCCGCTGTTTTGTAATGGCTTCCAACAGCGGTTTCCCGAAATATCCCCGTGCCTCAGCTACCAGTTTCTTACAGCAACAGCTCACAAGGACTGAACTGCAACAGTCCTCTAACTCACTCACTCACCAACCAGTACACTTGTATCCACTGTACTCAAATGCACTGCTCTACACTCACTAACTGAACTGAACTCGGTCAGGGGAGTCATATAGCCTCGGAGCGGAGACACAGAGAGCGCCGCTTGCAACACTTCTACTGTTGTGTGACGTCACCGCCTACTTGATGTGATCCTCTGCTGCATGTGTAGGGACTGTTACCTAGCAAAAGGTCTACATACTACAAGATTAAAGACCGTCGTTGAATTCAAGCTGGAGCCAGTTCCATCGAACTTCCATCCTCACAACCTCTTTCCTCGACACACCCATGTAAATGCTGTTGCCCCATCTCTTTTCCCATCTACCTACTGGTGTTTTTCAAGTGGTTTATTAATAAGTTCTGCATTTCAAGTCTCCCTGTCCGAGGTACACGACCAACCCACCTTAATCTCCATCATCCTGTGTAACCACACCATTGAAATCCTCCCCCCCCCTTTTTATTTCAGTAGCTCATAGAGTTAATAATAAGAATTTATGAAGAAACAAAGGTTTAAGACACACTGTAAGAACAAGGAATAGGCGATGAGCAGATAGACCAAACTTGCGCGGACAAGGGCATCTGCTAGTCCTTGCGTCCAAGCATCTGGTGTTGTTTTCCAAAAGGGCAGAAAATGATACTTCAAGCAACCCCACTGACTTTCTTTAGAAACTGAGAAGTAGACTTACAGCGGCAAGCCACTTTGAGCATTCGAGAAGTGACAGTCTACCAACCGTAAGTCAGAAGTGGGAGTCCCAGGAGATCATTAGCGACCCCTCATAAGTTGCATCGCTGTCAATTTCGCCGTTTGGTCTTTTAGGGCGAATTCCCTTCAGAAATAATCTGTCATTGGCCGGAACCAAAATTAAACCAACTCCCCTTAGTTGAATCAACCTATCAGGGAAATTAGGAGGAAAGGAGAACAGGCAGATACAACTCAGTTAGGACATGTGGCTCGGCAGAGAGTTCAGCCTAAGATTTTAGTCGTCTATAAAGTTTTGAACTTGGCGGAGGCAAACCCCGCATCAGACGCGCTAAAAGATCATTCTAGGAAGTACAAAATTTTGCTCCCATAACGACTTGTATTGAGATTTAGTTTAATCAACAAGAGCGCGGCACAAAGGAATTTGGCGAGCTGATTTTTAGTGTAAGTGTAACACCATCTGCTTTTAAGCTGAAACTAAATCGTATTGTGTGAATTTATGCAGCCGAGTGTCTTTAAGAAGAACAATAAAGTGTTGTGGTAGTACAGTGAATTGTGTTGATTAGAGGCGTTTCACTCTCACTTGTCCGAGCCTGACCCGTATCCGACCTGAAGAGAGACTCATCTCCATTGTCTAGTCAAACACACCGTCAGCTTTCACATGCTCACTCCTTCCCCAATTACTATGAATCGTAAACAGTCTCTAGCTGTTTGCTGGCGCCCATACTATCAAATCCAATCTTGAAACCCAACCCCCCAATAATCTAAACGGAAGGAAGAAGCGGTGGAGCCGGGTCAAGCCGAAACCAGCTACGACCTAGCAACTTCAGAACGGCAACATCGGGTAGGGCAGCGTCAAAGTGGTCATCGGAGCAGAGGGGCCGATCGCCATCGACTCCCACTCCCTGCACTACTATTCAGACGGAGCCGCAACGTAAGGGCACTAAGAGGACAGTTATAAGTGGCGCCCAACGTGGAGCACGAAGTCACTGCGAGGACGAGAGTACGAGAGAATAGCAACACAACGCACACCGCTGGAGGCAACAACTCCCAACAATTTGAACAAGATGCAAAACAGTACAAAAGAGTTCCATATGTGTGCAGAAATTCATTACTCGCATTCGTACGTGCCACAAAGGTGACACTGGGGGCAGATCTGGAGAACGCGGTATCCTATGTGGACGAAATTTTGATACATTCCCCTACCATGAAAGCTCACCTAAGACATCTTGATACCATACTCGGTAAACTGACGAAGGCAAGCTTCACGATCAATGCCAAAAAGTGTCGCTTCTGCAGAGACGAGGTCAAGTTTTGGGGGCACCGTATAAATAGGACCGGTGTATCCGCTGACCCGGATAGGGTACAAGCAATCCTCCACTATCCAGCACCGAGAAACAGTAAACAGCTGAGACAATTTCTCGGAAGCTGTAATTTTCATAGCAGATCCATCATAGGCTATGCAAATTACGTCGCACCGTTAACACCTCTATCGAAGCAAGGTGTGAAGTGGACGTGGACAGATGAAGCACGGGATGCATTCCTGCACCTGCGGCAGAGTTTTGCGCGCAGCATTCACCTGGTCCATCCACGTGATGACGCACCGTATGCAATTTGCACTGACGCCAGCAAGCTGGGGATAAGTTCAATACTAACCCAGGAAAGCGACTCAGATGATACTTCGATAGTGTCCACTGCCTCCATTGTGTTGAGTCCCGTAGAACGGAGGTACTCCACATGTGAACAGTAGCTGCTTGCTGTAGTCTGTGCGCTTCAGAATTTCAGAATATATGTGAGAGGTCGCTCCATCACCATATATTCCGATAATAAAGCATTATCGTTTCTGAAGCGGTGTAATTTGACATCTAGCCGAGACACACGATGGGTATTGCAGCTGCAGGAGTACGATTGGAAGATGGTACACATTAAAGGCAGCAGACACACTGAACCGCAACCCCACTGGTTTAAGCCAAGAGAGCGGCGACCAAGTGTTGAAGCCTAAAGAGTTACTCGTGGCAAAGGTAGGCCTGGGAACTGACAGAACACTCATGAAAGAGTTGGGCAATCTGTCAGAACACCAGCTCGGTGATTCCGCTTTAAAGAAATTACGGGAAGAACTGGAGAGGGACTCAGAGAATTTTCGGGCAGGTACATGGTAAGAGACAAGATCCTGATCTGTAAAAATGACAGGAGCCATCCATGTTGGAGAATTATGCTGCCCAGACAGCTACAAGACCGAGTGATTCGGTATGCACATACTTTATTGGGACATCAAGGTACCGACAAATGTACGTCGCAAATAGCATACACTTTTCATCTAAAGTCGTTAGGAAGAAAGGAGCCGAAGTTTGAGTTACACTGTGACATTTGTCAACGTGTGAAGCAACCCCAATAGGTCCTATGAGATTGAAAGAGCATCTCATCTTCCCACCAGGCCAGGAGAGCTATTAACGATATACCTCTATGGACCCCTCCCTGTAGGTCGTGGTGGAGTGAAATACCTGTTGGTATGTCTGGAATCCTTCTCCAAACATGTAACCCTGTACCCACTAAAGGCAGCCACCACTAGGAGCTGTTTAAGGAAGCTCAGGGAGCACTATTTCCAAAGTGTTATCAAACCTGACGCCATCCTGTCTGACCACGGATCGCAATTTGCGAGTCCTGCATGGCGGAAAGCACTGACCGATTTGGGCATTCAATGCAGATACTCTCCTATTCGACACCCGGAAAGTAATCCGACCGAGCGGGTTATGCGCCAGCTCGGAAAATACTTTCGAATCTACTGCCACGAGACGCACAAACAATGGCCAGAACTCGTGCCATATATGGAGAACTGGTTGAATTCTTCAGTTAGCCAATCTACAGATTTTACTCCAGTAGAACTGCTCAATGGATGTCCGAGGCCGGATATCTTCCGTAAGATACTGAAAAAGAGTGCAGACCTGCTACCCCGGGAAGATGCCTTATCTGACAAAATTCCAAAAGCCTATGCTCAGATGAAACTAAAAGCAGATCGGCGAAACAAACGACGAAAACCTACAAGACCAAATGGCAGCCTAGTCTCAAGGGGCTAGTGCTCGTAAAGTGCCAGCCTGTATCGGATACTGGGCAGAGCCTTACTTCAAAATTTCAAATACCCTTTGAGGGACCATTCATCGTCCATCGAAGAGTAAACCCCTCCATCTTTGAACTGGAAGATTCATAAGGCAGGATTAGGGGACTCTTCAGCCTAAAGCATCTGAAACCCGACCTCGTGGAAAACCCCGAATCCTAGACTCCACAGACAGGGTAGAAAGCCGATCCGTATAGCCCCGACCTTGCTCCAAGCGACTTCCATTTGTTCGGTCCTCTTAAACATCATCTTTCGGCTGAACATGTTCCCGACGATGAAGCTGTAGAAAGGGAAGCCACCGCCTGATTCCGAGAGCAGCCCAAAGAATTTTATGGTGCTGGTTTTCATGGGCTTGTGAAACGATGGGACAAGTGCGTTAATGTACAGGTTGATTATGTTGAGAAATAAAAGCATTTTTCAAATCAGTATTCTTATTTGCTTAAGTTCTACGTGTATATTCATTTGTAACTTACTTATTGATTTACTTACGTACATATAATGTACTCTAAAATCAAGTTGTACAAACATTTGAAACACAGAAATGTCCTTCCGAAATTGTTTCTAGAGGCTAATTTATTATGAGAATACAATAAATTCTTGAGTCGATAAATTCTGATTTACATAAGAAAGCAAATAAATATAATTCGGTTACGTATCTCTTCAGAATGGACTCGCTACTTACCTGACAAGATCGAGCAGAGTGTCAACCGTGGTGACATTTCTGGATGTTCCTGATTTGCTGATTTCTGACGCGTCTCCCCTTCCAGGATGAATAACGCTGACCAGGATCATGCCTAGGACGACAGCAGATACAGTCGTGCAGAAATAGTACACAATGGCCCTGGCACCAATTTTTCCAGAAAGAGACAAATCCAGTCCACCGATCGCGCTGATGATTGACGCAACAATCAAGGGAAGGATGAGGGATTTCAGCATCTGAAGAAATATGTCCCCGAAGTAAGACACATACATGATCTCTCGTTCTGTCCATTTGTCTTCCCTTGTTTGGCGCAAAATAACCCCAAGAATGGCGCCACCAAAAACTCCAATGACGGTGAGAAGCGTCAGCAGATTGCCACGCAAGAAGCTCTTGATGCGCTTCCGCGCAGTGTTCGCCATGTTTCTCCGATTGCTGCGCCGAGATTCGAGTGGAGAAGGAAGTTCTTCAGACAGCGGACTCCTGGAAACAAACAAACTTCGTTGTAATAAACTGTGGGAAACTGGACCGGGTGTACACAAACGAGGATTTGGAAACCGAGTCGTGGTCGTAAGACCTAAAATCATGAAATGCCACTGTAAAGAACAAGGAAAGCATGTGAATATGAAGAATAAAAGGAAAGAGGAGCTGAAGTAAGAAGAGAACGAGGAGGAGGAGGAAAAGGATATGCAGAAGGATAAGAACTGGAGGAGAAGAAGATAGGATAAGAAGAGAAAAAGAAAAGAAGGATGAGGGGTGAAACGATAATAAGAAGACAGAAACGAAGAGGAACAGATGCTTTGGATCTGAAAGGATTAGGCCTAAATTCAGTTCGTTTTTATTTCCATTCCTTTAATTCACTTATTCGCAAGAAACCAGCGCAGTTTATGCGACTTAAATCCAAAGAAATAGGCCAGTAAATTTTATATCCATAATTTCATACGATGTCTGTTAAATAATAAACAACGATACGGAAATTGGGAGTAAGTATATTTATCGTTTCCATCCTAATTCATTTCTTAAGTTAACTGTTGAAGACGAGAACTGGGCACGCTGTCTTCTTCCGAATGTCCAGATTGCATGTGGCAGTCAGTAGTAATATTCAACTTCTTCCCACGAATTTAGCAGGAGGTGATGGGCCCAAAAATTATAGCATGGGCATTTAAACTTGTATGGATTACACAGACTCTAAACTACTTAAACTGCCTGTTGAGCTGTACAGAACACGTCGAACGATGACATTTGTCAGTGCACCTTCTGGACATGTGGACCACGTGAATTATGTAGCCCTGTTCGCATCAAGGTTGTATGAGTGTGGCAGTGGTTAGAGTTTATCAGTATGTTGCCTAAACTTGGTAGTTAACTAAACAAATAACCTGTTTCAATGTCGTATAATTTTTATGATCCATATTCGTGGCAGTTTATATAGCGTCATTAAATAACGTTCACATCACTCTGAATTTCGGCATGGTCTGTAGAACTGTTGCAAAATCCTTATAAGTATATGTGAAGATATAATAAATATGAAATATAAAAGAGACAAGAAAATTTACTGCAAAGTCCTTATCAGAGACAGTGTTTTAGCTACGAAACAAAACCTCTTGACCTCTGCGCAATTTCGATAGTCGTTTACCCTGAATGCAAACCAGCCTCAGCATCTACCAAGCTGACGTTAATAAGTTTTAATACTCTAATTCAGAAATGGGTACTGCAACGTTTTACAAGAACAATCGGATGCGAACCTGAAGATGGAGTTCGTTAAACTCCAACATGTAAAAGTTTTTACAAGATGTCTACAGCTAAGTCTGTCGTATTTTCTCCAAATTTGTCAGACAAGCTTCTTTTGCGTGTTATAAAAGTTTTCCTGTGATAAGCAGTAAAACCCGCGACGAATCGAACAAATAAGGGCTTATGTGTAAGAAATAAAAAAAAAATACGTTTTAAACTGAAACTGAAACTGTTAAGTAGATATCGCCCCTAATTTATGAAGGTAAAGCGACATGAGATATGCAAACTTCGACGTCATGCAACGCAAATAAAACGTTATGTAGTTAATGTCTCTGATTCGTGTGAGCTTTTGAGATTCTCTTCAAATGCATATTTGTACAATATAATTCTGGAAGACTGAACATAGATTTGTGTCTGGTATTCAAGTCACTTTAGAGCTGCGATTTTCTGTCCCCGTTTTTATTAACAAATTTTGTATTGCCTGCAGAGAGTATTTCACTCTGATAAATGAGGTAAATTAAAATATACATGTGGGAACAGACGAAGACGAACCTTATTTGTAAGCAGTAATACAGGGTTACTACAAATGATTAATACCATTTCAAAACTATATTTTCCGAAGTATTACACATATATACACATATACACAAATATGATTGATACACGAAAAGAACCGCAAACTCACCAAGTTTGCATCATGATACACTAGTTGGCAGCATGAGTGCAGTACCTCACAAAATGGCGACGAAGTTGGAAAAGAGTTTCTGTGTGTTGGAATATGCGATGTGTTCGTCTGTTATTGCAGCGCAGCGTGCACTCAGAGGAGAGCACAGAAAAGAACCGAAAACTCACCAGGTTTGCATCGTGATACACTAGTTGGCAGCATGAGTGCAGTACCTCACAAAATGGCGACGAAGTTGGAAAAGAGTTTCTGTGTGTTGGAATATGCGATGTGTTCGTCTGTTATTGCAGTGCAGCGTTCATTCAGGGGAGAGCACAGAAACGAACCGCCATGTAAACAGAGCATTCTGCGGTGGTATCGGCAGTTTAAGGATACTGGTTGTCTGTGTAAACGGAAAAGCACGGGGCGACCAATATAGTGTTTTGAAATGAAATCATTTATAGTAACTCTGTATTTTGGCCGCGCCATTGCTCAAGCGGTTAGTCGCTGGCTTCCCACCGCGGCGGCCCGGGTTCGATCCCGGGTCTGGTCAAGTGGGATTTGTGGTGAACAAAGTGGCGCTGGGGCAGGTTTTCTCCCAGTACTTCGGTTTCCCCTGCCAATTTTCATTCCACCAACTGATCCACAATCACCCTCCCCTATCATCTGGGGCTCGTACAATAGGCCAGAAGTGGCCGCAGTACAAGAGACTTAGTCCCACCCCACTAGCAATAAAGAAAGCCTGTGTTTTAGAGGTGAAAATATAGGGGAAATAGTTATAAAGAGACTATACATATAAATCTCGGCTTTATGAATAAAGGCGTAGAATACTGATGATTTTTAGCTGCCACATATGTGAAATGTGTGCGGAACTGTAGCTGTGTGCCATAAAATACCTTGAACATACACGTCTTGCTCCCGAAAGTCGAAGATGCGCCTTAAACAAACCTACGAGATCTCGGTGTATTACAGAACTTCTGATTTCACGAAGCAGGGAACAGGGCAAATATTGCATTAAACTGAGGAGGTTGGAGTTTGAAAGACCGGAGTGCTACAAAAGAAAATTTCCAAAAAGTCTTGATTACTGCGTAGTTCAGAGGCAACAAGAAAAAACAATGGCGTTGACTATAGGTATTGAGCCCAATTTGACAGTTGCTGAAGTTTCTGCGTGAGAACTTCTTTCCACATTACGAATATGATGACTTCAGTGAGAGATGAACACAGTGGCCCTCACAGTCGAAGGATCGCAAGGTCGTGAACCTCTTGGACGCTGGGAGCATGATACATGGATAATATTTGCGTCTGTGTTGTACAGTATGACCGCCTCTGTGGTCTAGTGGTCAGAGTTCGATTCCCGGCGCTACCAGATTTTCTGACAAGTAGTGGGTCTGGAACGGGGTCCACTCAACCTCGTGAGGATAATTGAGGAGCTATTTCATGGAAACAGCGACTCCGGTCTAGAAAACCGAGATTAACGGCCATGGGGATCCGTTGCGCTGACCATGGGACACCCTCTATCCGCAAAAGTAGGCACTAACTTCGCCCACAAGCGGCGGTCGCTCGGTTGGTATAGTTCGCTTGCTGACTACAGGCCACGGAGTTCTTTGTTTTGTTTTACAGTATGGTCCTGTGTTGGTACAGTCCTTCCAATGGCCCAGTTCGCCTCCCAAGAAGCCATATAAAATATCTATAAGGATTCAGATTGAGAACTCTGATTTGGAATAGGGCAGAGGGCTGTTCCGTAAAGACTAAAGGTGGAAAATGGTGGATGACGTAAGACAGGATAATAACTGCTTCAGGCCACTGCAGGAGCGCCATTACATGTTTCTCAATGACACGATTATACACTATACATCACAGCATGTTCCCCGCTAGAACAGTGGAATGGATACTCGTATGAATGCAGAAATGCTCTCCAGGAAAGCCGGAAACAATTCTTGCAAGCAGGAGAATTGAAACGAGCGTTTTGCTATCTTTTAGTCAAATGTTCTCTTTATGAATAATGCCCTGATGATGCAAAACTACAAAATTATCTAAACTAGGTTTTTATCAACTTTCAGTGAACATTAAAATAACCAATAAATCATCAGAAGTTTTAGCTTATTTTTCTTTATTTTTAAAATAATAAAAGGACGCTTATGATATCGCCTTGCTCTCTGTATGTATGTCTGTGCTTCCTCCTAATTTCTGAAAAGAAATACAAGTAAAAAAGTAAAGGTAAACTTAATCCTGTAGCAGGCCGTGGATTCCCATGGGGTTGTGAGATGTTGAGGTTCCCACATTTGCTCTAGACAGTCGGTTCATAGATGGCGGTAAGGTTATCAGCCTTACGCGCCGGCCGCCCTTTATCCCCCAGGAAGATTCCTGGTACTCATTTCTGTTAGAAGCTGGAAGAATTAGGTCAACTGAAAAAATCCGATGACCTCATCGGGACTTGAACCCGCGACCTTCCGGCTTGTAGCATAGTGCCTCAACCAACTACGCTACTGCGTGCCACCTAAAAATAAATACAAGACTTAAGACTATCTGAAAGTAGTTTACTTTCCTTTGATACGAGACGGACTGCATACAAAACGAAAAAATTATAGGGGACATGCAGCCAGACAGCAATATAATCTCATAAGCCTTTATTTCCAAAAGTAAGATAAGTAGCTCAACGAGATGCTTATAAGATCACCTTGCTGTCTGTCTGTCTGTATATCTCTCCATTATGTTTTTGTCTACGCGATCCTTGTCGCATCTAAGAGAAGCAGGCGACTAGTTCTTCCCAGAACTTCTTTTTTATAACTAAGAAACAACGTATGCGGGAGTGATAGTTGTCTGTCAGCCTCTGACCCAGTTACCGCCCAAACTGTTAGAACGTGATGAGAGATAGTGTCACTAAAATGTATAGGGGAATTCGAATTCTTCCTTGATGGGACAGAAGTAAAGGAGAATTATGGGTTCTCACATCGGTGGGATATTATAGACTCCAGGGCGCTATATCCCAGAAGATAGAACTCCTCAGAAATAAAGCACATGCTGTGAGCTTCCACACCTTAACTGGCGCCTAAGTTTCTAGGTACTTATCGAACACAAAAATGTGCTAAATGGG